ACTGCTCTCCTGCTTTGAGCTGAAATTTAAGAGGCAGACCCACCTATTACTTTAAAAAGGTATTTATTTTTTCATAGGAAATAAAAATAAACCGTCATACAAATAAAACATCATGAGACAAATACATTTAGAATAAAAGGACACAGTGTTCCTTCAAACATGGTACTTACTTTTTTTTTTTTTTTAAAGCAGTGCATTAACTAAAATGAATCATAAGTAAACAGCCGTTGCAGCACATATAGGATTTAATCGCACACGATTTTGTACAACTGCCCCTCAACAATTACACTAAGGACAAAACCAGCAACCGACTTAAAGAACAGCAGAACATGTCAGACTAAGCAGAATATCACATAATTTTAGGTAAGTTTGTGGGTGAGGAGGAAAGGTACATAATTGTGCTCAGTTACATACAACTAGATCCAGTGCTACAAGTTACTCCAGTAGTAAGCTGCTACATTAAATACAGATGCACACAGGGGACCATACACACAGATTCATGTTAAAAGAAAAGATACAGAAAAGATACTTAAACCTACCCTATTTTCTGCATTGGTTTTGCAGGTCAAAGACGTTGGAGGGAAGCAGCACTGCGTGTTTTAATACTTACCCTCCCAAACAACGACTACAACTGGCACCGACCTGGCTACCCTTAGCAGGAGGCAGCCAGGAGAGCGTGGGCTGCAGCATCACCTGGTTTGGGATGTTCCTCCCCTATATGAGGCGCTGTGCGTTGACTAAAACAAAATGATCATGTGCAGGAGAAACTTTTCCTCCAGCAGAACCGAGGTCCTGGATGTGCCCACGCACAACAGGAACGGATGTAAACAAGGAATCGCCTCGGCTTTCGATCCGCATAAAAAGATCCCAGAACCCAACGCAGAAGATGTGAAGGTGAAGAAAAAGAAATAAAAAGAGGGAAAGCTACATTTTGAGTTCTTTTGGTCACTTGTGCATATGCAGTACTGAATAGTGCCAAGAATTTGTTCCTTTTGAGGTGCAACTGTCAGGCACTAAAGCTACCCCAAGCCCAGATTTGCCCGATATGAGCTGACACCACATCTAGCACAAAAGCTCTTGTGAACAACTTCCCTGTGTGCGTTAGGTTCATCTGTGCAAAGTGCAAAGTTTTTTTCTAGCAGGCTACTTGAGGGCCCATGATCACCAAACCCAATGGAAAGAGCAAAGACAGGAGCTTCCCAGTGGTCATTTCTACTGCAGCCCAAGCGGGGCTCACTCGAGGCTGCTGCAAGTGCTTCAGCTCCCAGCGAATCTCACCGGGCTCCCAGGCATCGGCAAACTCAAGCTTCCCAGCTGCCTACAAGCAAATCTTTCTTCATCTTATGCGAGGTGGCTTCAGCTACCAGCAAGCACCAGCATAGCGGGGAGCATTTCTTCTAAGCGCTTAAATAAAAGGCATTCTCTAAGATCAGGAACAAAATACATATATGTGCTTTTAACAGCCTTTTCTTCTGCCGTAAGAGGAGGCCGAGACCTACAGCATCTACGAGCAAACCCAACATCCCTTTTCTTCCATAAAGCATTCATTTGATTTTGTCTAGCACTGACAACTGCAAAACAAAATATAAATTAAGAACCCAGCATTAGGAAATTCACATTAAGACATTTTTACTGAGAAATAAAGCTATGCAAGTCCCTCTTCTACTTGCAGGGAGTAGCTTTAACACACGCTATTTTAGGCACTTCCCACTGCAAGGCTGTACCTATTTGGAGCAAGTGCAAGAGACAACGTCCAGGCACCAGGCCACCAGCAGAGCATCTCGTTGAAAGCAAGGAGTCTTCCAGAAATAGCAGAGTTTCGCATGAACAGCACCCAGCCCCAGCAAACGGGATCCCTCTCCCGTATCCGGGAATCCAAACACAAGGCAGCAAGTCGCACTGCTCAGCTTGCAGCTCCCGATGAGAGAGCTCACAACGTAACAACGCACGAACGTTCAACCAGGAACAGGTCGGAGTAACTTCTCTCCACACAGCGCCTGCACGACACAGCACCTATGTAACAGTTTTTAGGCTTCCTCAGATGCTTTTTCAGGGACGATTCCATGGAGTCACTCACCAGAGCAGGCGGGGCGCTCGCCCAGGAGCTCGGCAGACGCTTTCAGCAGGCGCCTCGAAGCCGCGGCAGGAGCCGGTCCCAGTTGCAGCGGGACCCGAGGAGGAGCTGCAGCACTTGGAACCGCTTCTCATTTTTGGTCTTGAAACACACACACAAAAAAATGTCTTCCAAGCTAAAAGGGTTCTAGCTAATTGGTTTTCAAGCAAAGAATTTCCTGGCATTCCAGGCAACCCTGGAATCGTTTCCAGCCTAAATCTACAGCACCAGCATGAATGACTTCAAATGTTGCAGACTTTGACCAAGCTTGTATATATTATATTCAAGAGGTTTAAAACAACAGATCATCCCCCTTTTTGGCTAGGTTTTACATTTCAAAGTATAAAGTCATGCATTGTTTTGTTACTGAAGTCAAAAGCAGCAAGATTACTAAAAGCTCATAAATATTTTCAGTGTATAAAGTAATCTTTTCAGGGCTGTACGCACAGAAAGGAGCGTAGTCAGGAATAAAAGATCTAAGGAGATGTCAGTGTCACGTTCCTTTACGAATAAGCAAAGATCACTGCACTTTTTCCTAGGTAATCTGTGATAATTCAAAAGGCAAGGCAGTGTGTAAACATTTATAGAAACATTTTGCAAAATATTCTTATACAAAGATTAACAAACAGTGTGCCTAAATCCTTCAGTAGTCAGTCAAAATTATTTGTAACTGCATCTCTAATTCTCAATAGAGATCACATAAGAGAATGACAACTTAAAATAACCGGTCCTAAAAAGTGCCTATATTGGCTTCATTTCCCATGTAGGAGCTCCCTAATTAAGAAGCCATCCATACAACCCACTAACCCTCTCCTACTAGCTTGAATAGAAAGACAGGGTTAAACCACTAGCCTATTTGAAAAGGGCTTAAGAGAGCCAAGTTTGGGTATGTGAAATTGAGCTTTTACACTATAAAGGGCAAGGAACTGCTCAACACTTTTCAGTGGAAACCTACAGCAGAATTTTTGTGTATTTAGTGCTATTTGGTTCGGGTGCAGCCCCCTCAGCGCACTCCTCAAAATAAAACACACCACTGTTCGTACGTATCTTTGATACGTATCCATACAAAAAAAAAGCCTCAATATCTTTTGTTTAAGCATATCTGGTTCAATATTTTATGTGCTTAGCTATAAAGAATTGCTCCCTGCAGGTCTCTTACTCTTACCTTGGAAATTACTATTTTTATTAAACTGACTTAAATATTACTTGCTTTTGAGATTTTAAAACCTGCAGCACTAAAAAAAAAGTTTGTTTCTTACTGCTGTTCTGGGCATGGAAGAAACTGTATGTTCCCTTGCATTGCCCTTTTTAATCAGGTCTTTTGATATGCTTAATAAGAAGATACCTTCTCACTGCGAGACACCTGGATGACTACTTTTGTTCATCTTGAACATTGAAATTAACTTGGTTGTTTTAAATTAGATTATAGTTGTTACTCATACACTTATACTGTTTCACAGTACTATATTGGAGTGCTTCTACTTTTTATTAATGGTTGAGGGGGTTTTTAATTTGGAGCATATTTTCAGTTTGATTCAAAATTTTATAAACTGAAAACGTAGTCTGAAGTCCCGACAGCAACATCTCATATAAACATGAGGCAAGGAATGCTGAAAAGGGAATCGAATTAAACTGCACAAAGGGTCTCTGTGCAATTCCACACACCTACAGGGGAAACTTGCCCAGAACAGGTACAGCTTTGGTTCAGCTCTTCTGGCCATCCATGGCCCCGGGGAAACAAGCCCTTGGTTCTTCAGAAGAGTTGTGCACAATTGGAATTACTGCTGCTTTTTACACTTTGCAGTTTTAATCTCCAGCAGCATCACAGCCACCAAGGAGAGTACAAGATGGAGCCGGGTCCATAAGCTAAAAAGTCCATTTCTTTGTTCCAGCAATGGGCCACATCCGGCTTTACCTTTTGTCACCTTTTTTCACAGCAACAACAACAAAAATCCTCGTTTCATTTAGCCAGGATCATAAAACAATAGCAAAAAATTCCATGCAAATCCATATAAAGTCCTCCTATGCTTGCTCATTTCTAATCCTCCTCTATCAGAAATGGATGTGCTACAGGCTGTCTTTGTGGCTTGCTGCACTCTCAAGATCAGTAAGTAAAGTCCCTAAAAGCTTCTTCTTTGAAAGGTCGTCTTAGAAAGAAGCTATTAAACTCAGGGGACCCGCCTGGGGAAGTTGGCAGCAGATACAAAACCTTGTTTAAAAATACTGACTACAAAGACGACCAAATACTACATGACACACTACCATAATAAAAATACTCCATTGCATGGCTAGACATTAAGATGGTCTCCAGGAAAAGGCACAGGGGGGTTTGTTTTTAACAGAGATGCATAGGAAACAAAAAAAATCAATCTGTTCTGCCACAAGGTGAGGGTCCATGCAGAAATTCATTCTCAGATAAAAGACGACTTTTCATCATTTTAAAACAAACTAAAATGGCATTTGCAACCTTTCACCATCAGTAAGAATAAATGGATTGCATCCTTCCTAACTCAAGTTATAAACACCGCCGAACTCGTAACCCTCCATCCATGTTCACTGGCCATGATGCCTTTTTGCCTCAAACAGTCCTGGCAGGTAGTTACAAACCTTAAGCACCTACCATATTTCAGCTGGCAGATGAGGGTTAGGCCCTAGGGCAGGCCCAGCCTCCCTGCAGCTCTGTACTGCAGCTCATCATTGCAATTGCAGCAACGCAAAACAAACCCAACGCAAAACGTGTTCTCTGCAGGGGGAGAACAGCCCCTGCAAATGTACGTACTGACACTTAGCTGTAAATGTGACGTGTGCGACGCCCTCGCTGGGGCACAGATCTCGCATGCCTCACCACACGAGTGCATGATTCATTTAACTCAGTTTTCAGAGCTGATCAGTGATGCTCAGGCTTCCCATCCGCAGCTTCAGAGTCCAAAACACCAACAGTGGCTTTTAGATCGCAGAGGTCCTGGTGCTTAGGCAGGTTCTCTTTGTTCTTTTGGTCCATGTCTGACGTAACATCTACATCCCCCTCCATAGTACCATTAGTCAACGCAGCAGGTGGGTCCCCATCATAATCCTGGGGAGTGTTGAGCATCGGTGTTTTTGAAGAAGCACTTCCCAATTTAGGGAAGGAACAGGCTTCCGTGAGTAAAGGACCATCAAGGAAGGGAAGCTTCTACATAGAAAGACATTTAAAAAAATTAATGAAAGCTGAAATTCCCAAGTATCAGGGATATGTAACAAACAACTGCCAGGGTAACAGTCCTCTGCTGCCCAGCTCAGTGCCCCCTTCAGCTCCGTAATCTGGATTACAATGCAACATGTACAGATCAATATGCTCTAGGCAAATCAGTACCAGCTCTGGCCAATATGACCAGAATAAACTCCTGTAAAGTGCGTTTCTGTTTACTTCATTGTTGTGGGCTCAAGGGGAGAAATTGGCTTTTCTGAAGCAATTAACATCTCTGTACTCCAGCATTGCAGCCCATAGTATTCAAAGTGCAAACTCGACCTGTGTTGCCCTAATAAGGCACTTAAGATGGATCCAAGACAGACACTTTTAGAGAGCAATTTGGTCTATATCATCCAGTTACATGTCTTTGTACAAAAGCCTAGTTAAGTAATTCCACTGTTTTAATACCTCGATCATCATCAATTTTCCAAATGTTTTGTAAATGAAAAGAAAAATCTGTGGACTAATCAACAACAAAAATATTTTTGTATTTTCATATTCTTTGCCCAGATCTATGTAGCAAGTCAAAAGTTGTTTGTGACAATCTGTGGTACAATTAGCACTCTATTTTCCTATTTTAATCCCAGTTATATTTGCCACAGCTATTATATAATTTTGACTATTTACAGCATTCAGGACTCACATTTTCCAATTCAGATGCATTGTCCTCTAGTTTTGTTTTTTGGCTCATGCAATTTAGGAGATGATCCAACACGCACTGTTTTGGATGCATTCCTTTGTCAAAACGATTATACATCCCACACCAAAACCTGAAAAACAAGGTAAGAAGAGAAAATTGTAAGGCAAGTCGTACACAAGTGGTCATGACAAACAGTAATTATATATTACCTAAGAAAAAATATTTTTAGCCAATTCAGATAACAAACCGATTTAGAAAAAAAAAAGCCACAGCTCTGTATAATAAAACTCAGTATGAAGAACCAATTTTCAGAAAGCTTCAAAGTGGCAACAAAAACTTCTGAGGATTTGAATACTTCGCCCTTATGATCTACAGAGTCTGGAGAGAGGTATTAGAACAAAAGGAAGTTGCACTTTGCTCTATAGCAGACTCACTGGAGGTTTGGGCTGTTCACCCTCAAAAGCCTGTGGTTTGCACTACCTTCCTTCTTTTAATAAAACACTTTGCCTTGCAGTAACCACGTGCAGTGCTTACAAACATGTCTCCATCAGCAGGGAACAGGAGCACGAGAGAAATGCAAAGCAAAACCGACCGCTCCAGCTAGAGCGCCCTGGGCAAAGAGATACACAAATACCCCGTGCAAGAAATCCCTTCTGCATCCTCACGGCATAAGCCTGGGTGTGATCAGACACTGAAATTCATACACTGAAGAGTTTATTATACAGACATTTATTAGAAAGACTTATTAAAAGGTAAAAAGGAGCCAGTACCTTTGAAAAACTGCCTATCTTCTGCTTAAGAGTTGTGGAGGGAGGAATCTGCTTATCTACAGTTCTTATCTTGCTGGGTTCCTCTCCCTCAAAACTAAAAATGTAGTATTAAACTACAGTATTTGCACTTTGCAGCTATCTGTGCTCTGCTCCTCTCAGTTAATGCATGAGAAAGGGAGGGGAAAGGTAAAGTGAGCTGCTCTAATGGGTTGAAAAAGCATCTCACTAAACCTGAGTTACCTCACCCCATCACAGTGAAAAAAGGTCCCAGCTCTTCCCTTCCTCTATAAGCAACTTACTGGAAACTGAAAGGTAACGTGTTTGGTTGAAGGTCATTATAAGCTGTAAATCCTCTGTACAAAGGATTTCTGAACTCCTGCTTCTTCTGTAAGAGGAAAGGCCAGAGAGAGTGGGTCTTCTCAAAGATTCTGTCAAGTACAAATAAGATTCAATTACTAAAAATTAAAATCTCAGTAAGTCAATTGACAAGTAAGTCAATTGAGTAACAGTTTTTCACACTGTAGAATGTAGGCAGCTATTAACAGAATGTTCCCCTTGGCCAGTCTACAGTTACATTAAAAACAAAAAACACAACCCGCCCTTTTTTTTGACGCTTTGAGTCATTTCTAAACTGTTGGCTCCGTAAACTGCCAACTCACTTCAGATCTTCACGCTCCTTATGGCAGGTCCCAAGGAAGTTGCCAAACTGGCAGGAGTAGACGTGGTCATGGATTTCCAGCAGGAAGCGCTCGTTAAACTCAAACGCGCACGGAAACTGCTGCATGAGCTGCCAGACGCACTCCGTGAACTGAGTGAAGACAGGAGATATCTCTTTTGGGTCACCATCCAAATGGCCACACCTGGAGAGATACAAACAAAAAGTTAAATCTTGCATCTCCTACAACAAAAGCTCTATAGCTACTAAACAGCTGGGATGGTTTTCTTCAGTGCCAGCTTAAAAAAAAAAAAAAAAAAAATCACTCTGCAGAGCTAGGGCGGATTAGCTGTTTCTATGCCTCATTTTGGGAAGCCCAAAATAATCTACCAAAACCAAACGTTTTTTCAGCTTTAGAAGTAGTTAAACTATTAATTCTGCAAAGCCAGAGGTATACTGTTCTTTATAATCTACCAAGAAACAAGAGATAACTAGAAAAAAAGAACGATAAGTCTTTTTGGAAAAGAGTCAAACTTTTATAATACTATCCTGACTGTTCTTTCTTAACAGGAAGAAAGAAATGAATCTTCTCTTGTAGAAAGTGATATAACCTGGAAATCCGTGGAAGGGAAAGTGGACTTTATGTGGTTTTGTAAAACATACAGCTCTAGACATTTCTCTTACTTGATTTCCCCTAACCTGGGTAAAAAGATGAAGTAAGGTTTCTTGTTGCAGAGATCCAGCTAATCAAATACCAATTCTGGTTCTGTCATTCCAGCCACTCTATCTGAAGCAGGAGCATGAAGAAAGACTAATCTCCCCAAGCACCACAACGCACAGGCTGCAACTAGGACAGCAATGATCTTCTCCATCTACTAGAATAAAAGTTCATGTTCTCAGACAGTGGTGAAATTTGTCTCCATGATATTTTTTGCACACCTTGCCAAGTTCTTATATTTGGGACGATGATTTGTAACACAAAGAATCCTTTATAATAGAAAATAGGTGAAATTATTTCCCTACCCTTAGAAAAGCAACAAAGGCAAAACAAAAAAAGTAGTAAAGTCCCTACAAAAGCAAAAACAGTGACCATGCAACATTAGTTGGTCTGACAATGTTTAAAGAGTAGTTTATCTTTGGGCCACTTTTTCTAAAGCACAAGTGTAAGGTCATGTATATTGCTCATTATTCCTAAACATGTTTTAAGGAAATAGATTTTTTCACTATTAAAGAGAGGACCAAGTTTCATGCAGAGTCAAGATTCTCAAGTTTTAATAAGCCCATATCACTGAACACGGGTCCACTCTCTCCTAGTATTAGTTTAGGCATGCTAATTTCTAGTTTCTATATGGTAATTAACTAAAACAAAAACACAACAAACCAAAATACTACGCCCTGAACAGGCAGAGTATTAATTACAGTATTTTTAATTTGCCTGAAGAATGCAGGTCAAATTGTTCTTCAATATTATACCAAGCTGAACTTACATTCTGAACTCGGTTGAAAAATACTAACTGCAATCTTCTACCAGAAAAGCACTGCAGAAGTATTTACAAGTATTGCCAAGACAGTAACACTACACATATAATATACATAAGATTTTACAGGTAGGAAATAGATTTAAAATTAAATTAACCTGTCCAAGACTACAATGTTGCAAAGTAACATAAAAAGGACACCCTGAAAAATGCAAACTAACTGGCAAACAACCCCAGGAAATACTGCTTTATGTCAGCAGCTCCTACAGTTTCCAAATTAAAGTCCACAATATTTGAGAAATGATTTGCAGACACATTTCCTCTTTGTTCTGTTGTCATTTAAATTACTAATGGGAGTGAATAAACCTGAAAACACTACATTACCCTCACAGTCAAGCCTCCCCCCAGTGACTACACCCAAGATTAAATGCTCTTACCTGTGTGAGAACTTGTGACCCATGGCAATCCACTCCTTCTCTATCAAGACCTTCAATTTCAAAACAGAGGTTGAAACAAATTAGCATTAATTAGCAAAAGCAAAACAAAGCTTTTGTTGTTAAATACTAAATAGAGCTCACTACCAAGGCTACCTGCTGTTATGAACACATTCACAGAAGTCAATGAATATATTAATGTAATTAACTAATCAATAAATTGCTATTACAGATTAATCCCTGGTATCATCATCCAGAGGCTTGAAGACCCAAAACATGGCAGAAAATTATACTGTATCTTTGATAATTAAGTCAGACTGCTTATTCAAATTTCCATATTCTTGTGGCATTCATCTAAGTATAACTATGGTCATGGGATCTGTATATACCCACTGTATGCAAAGAGGACAAGTATTTGTCTGTGTCCCAGTGTTTAGGTTACAGCTCCTGACCCTCACTAAAATCATGTTGCACAGTTCACACAGAATTGGTCTTAGCACTTCAGAAATCCAGGTTAATGTTTCATATTCTGGTATTATTTTAACTGTTAAAAGGCAGTAACATCCAGAATAAAACATAACAATAAGGTAACAGTTCCAGCAGTGTAAAGCACATTCACGTATTCGGGGAGGGAAAATTTGCATTACTTTGATTTTAGTTTTTTTAAGGAACTCTCAGATATTGGACAAGAAGAGATGAATGGAAACATTGCACTATATGAAGTGATGCCTTCACACAGAAGAGGCCTGCATTAGAAGCAAACAGGCAAGTTCTTGTGCAACAGATTTGAAACAGGCCTTCAGTGACACACACATTTTGGGTGATACACAGGTTTTATGTTTGCTCTGTGTACATTAATGAACTCCCCCAGTTTAAATCTTATCAGTTACAAGGCCATTTGTTATAAGGGTCTTAAATGAAAAGCTTCTTTACTCCCTTTTTTGTGAACTGCTGTCAGACTAATATCTTTTGTTTACTCATCTCATGCAGAAATGTCTCATTACAGTTGTCACTGGACATTCAAGAATAAAAAGATTTGGAAATTTTAAATCAACTGCTACTGTTTTGTGCTCATGCTGCTCAGAGCAATTAAAGCTTGTTTATAGAATCAAAGCTGTTTTTATATAGGTCACCTACTCTCTGTTCCAGGAAATGGCCTAAAACATTTAATTACCACTTGTTTACATTCCGATTGCAGAAAGTACTTTTTGATATTTTAACATGCATACTCTTACCATGAAGCCTTTAAAAGTCCTATAAAACGGGTCTAAAAGGAGGCTAGCCAGGGAGCAGACCTGAGCCGTGCGATCCCACCCGTCGGAGCAGTGCACTAACACACTTGCCTTCTCATCTTTCACAGCCTGCAAAGGAGAGACCAGACAGAACAGTTTAGCAGCTTGCAAGCTTGCTTACTGTAATTAAATGCTCTCCCCTCATCTGCATTTAGCAGACTTCCCTAAAACCCAAGGGGAAAATTTGTCACTTCTCATCTGGACCGTGGAAATGCCTCATTTCTGGGCATATAGCCATCGACCCATAGGAAACCCCAACTAGAATGAAATGCTGCAGCAGGCCTTGTCAGCACCACAGACCGTCAAGAAACAAAGATCTTCTGCTCTCAAAAGACTCAGTCTTCTGAAATGCCAGAAATTTTCAGTCATTTTTCTGAGGAAACATTTGGTGGATGAGTAAAGAATAATAATTTGATGCTCAGGGACTGGAAACCTCAAGAAAATTTAGGAAAGCTCATCTCAGCTTCCTTCCAAATTGATCACGTTCCTCCCTTTGTACTGCTGGGAAAGGAGAAACAAAACAGCTTCTTGCTTGCTACGCTGGAAGGCAGCAAGTGGCAACTCTTGCTACTCGTCTTGCTATACTCCCTTTACTGTTCTTGAAGGGCTGTGAGCCCTATTGTGCTTTTTCCTTTTGCCTAGCCAGCAGCTAAGTCCTACTCTTCCAGAAGTTCTGGAAAAGAGAGGACTGCATTGAACAACCAAAACTAGCGGTCCCTGGAGAAAAAAAAAAAAAAAAAAAAAGCTAAATAATCTGTTGTTTAAATCACAGCACTTCAGTAACTAACAAGAACATTGGGCAAGCATGCAAGTTTTTTGCATGACTAATTATGCTACAGTGTACATGGACATCTGCAAAGGTTATTTATTCACATTCTGTGATTTCATGCATTGCAAATGAGTTCGAATAAAGGCCAGGTAACTGCTATAATACAGTGAGTGGGAAAATGCTTCAGCTCATCATGGTAATTCACTTGGTCACTGGAAGCTGCTAGAAGAGCACCTGCCAAGAACACTACACAGTGTTCTCATGCTCAAACCCAACTACAGGTCTGTTATTTGAGTGCTGAGGCCAAACTAAACAGCAAGTCTTTCCCACCTTCTCTCTGGAGCTGACTTCACAGCCTTGGAGCAATCACTAACAGACAAGTACATTTATTTTTCTTTCTTTAATTCACCTGTAGGTTGGGATATAGTTTTACCTTGGCAAGAAAGACACCTGCATCCATCACAGCTTTAATGTGCCGCAACCAACCTGAGTTCTCCAGCCCAGTGAGGAAGTCGCTCATTGAAGGAGACTTTGCTTCACACACTGAAAATACAAACAAAAAAAAATTAGCCAAGATTCAATAGAAACATTTATTTCTTTTTCCCAACTCCCCAATAACTCTTCATAGCAATAAAACTTGATAGATGCTAAACATTAATATCACAAGACTCCTTAAATATCAGCAGCAATATCCCATCCAAAGTGTACATCTATAAAACTTGATAGATGCTAAACATTAACATTACAAGACTCCTTAAATATCCCATCCAAAGTGTACAGCCATATACACAATCCAGAACTTCTTAAGCTACAAAAGACTCTAACAAGAAATATTTCTCCTCTTTCTAAGAGGCAAAACTCACACATTATTATCATATCAAGTGATGTTTTCCCAGGGGCTGATGAGTGTTACGTTTCATTACTTCACTATACAAATCAGCATCAGACACATATTCAGCAGTCAGTAACATGCAATCACTATTACAAAGATTTGAAGCAAGGAGAGTTCTAATTTACAGAAAAAAATAGCACCTGAATAACCCCCAAGATGGGGTATGTTATATTGAAAACCACCACAAGAAATACTTAAGAGTAACATAGTTCAGTAGTCCCTACTAAAGAGAGGGATTTTTAACTGTTGGGACCTAATAGCGAAGATGACAAATATGGGGGTATTTATTCTTCCTCTTCCTCCTCCGCAAAAGAAACCAGCCAGCAACATGCAATTAAGGACTTGCACTTGTGCTCACACCAATCTCACGGTCTTACAAACAACCTAATTTTTCTCCCAGGTCACTGTAGGTCCAACAGTGCTACTGGCCCAGCCAGTCTCTAGCATCATCTTTTGAAGCAGGATGCCCATCATGCTGGTTACCAAGATATCAAATCCTCATTCTGAATGACAGCACTTGCATTACTTTCCAAAAAAATAAGCACAGGGGCCAAAGAGAAAGATTTACAACAACCACCCTGCCCTGTTCTCCAAGCTTTGTCACTATAAAGACGTTAATAACTGATGGAAAGGTGCTAGCAGAGTGTCCTGGTTTGACTCAAGCCACTATCACCTTTAATGGATTTTCTCCAAAGTCACCTCAGTGTAAATATGAGCCAGATTCATCTCAGTCTCCAGGGGCTCAGGAAAGCATTTCTGCTGCTCTCATCCCCACCCTTCCCTAAAAACATCATCTCACAGATTAACTTGAAAAGCTGACCGCTCACATAGTAAAAAGTCCAGCTAAGGAGATCAGAAATAAATTAAAAATATCCCATAAACAAACAGTGAGCCCCTTAATGATAAAAACGCAATTTCTCTACCTTTTGACTTTAATTTGGCACATATTCACATCTTATGTATCCAAAAGAAGTAATGAATGTAGTAGATGTTAATATTTTTGAGCTATTATAACACACAGTAATAGACAAAATCTCTAGCAGGAAAACAAACAATATTAATAAGTTTGCCAGCAGGTTACCAACACCACCAAGCTGTGCACATTCAGCAAAGCATGGTCAGGTACTGAAGAAACACAAGGAGGCTCCAAACCCACCTTCCAGGAGTTTCTGCAAGCTGTTCCGCATCACATGGATGTTTTCTATGCCGATAAATTTAAAGCGAATGTTATCATAATTATCTTCGTTCTCATAACCCTTCCCAGCAGCTCGGTTGGCCATGGCATTTAGCTAGCAAATGCAAGGGAAGGGGAGTAGGATAAAATAGAAAGAGAAAAAAAAAGGAATAAGCAAATCTACTTTTCAAATACTTAAAAAAAAAATAAAAATTCTCCCAGAACATATACTGAACAAAGTTGTCCCCCAGATGTTCTTTTTCCCCCTCCCTCCCAACAATTTTACTAAAATTATGGCAATGTCTCCAGTCAATTAACCGTACGCAGTAACCCATTAGGAGCTTAGGGAGCACTTCTTAGGACAGGCAGCATCAGAACCTTGTCCAACTGCAGAAAACTGCCATCAAAGGAGTCTCTCCTAACTGTGAAGCTATGTAGATTCAGGTAAACACACATGAAGGTTAAGCTAGGAAAGGCATGTTACATACATACATGGTGGCATACATATAGCAAGAGAATTCCAAAGCTTTTCACAGACATACATGCACAGATGCAATAGAGTCACCTGAGGAAGCACAGAAACATTAAAGTTGAACAGAAAGCACACAGCATGCAAGTGGAGTGGCTGAAAAGGTTGAAGAGAAGCCCGTTGCTCTGCAAGATTATCCAAAATAGCTCAAGCACTACCAGGAAATCTTTTGTGTCTGCAAGGAAAGAATACCTCAACCCCTACACAGATAGGGTTGGGAAGAGGGATTATTTGCCTCTATAGAAAGGAGAGAAGGAAGAAGATACAGACACAAGATGTACATCTTATCAAAAATAGATGCAGTGACTTCTACAAACATGTATTTAATCACAGAATGTACCAAGAATAATTACCTTTAGGCAATATCATATTGTAAAATAAATAAGAGGTTTTTTCCCTCCCAAAAAAAAATCCCTTTCTTGCTCCCACTAAAGTTTAACCGAATTTGGAGTTTACATAAAGTATTTCCAAAAACTGAACAGTGAAGCCAGTTCTCACTAAGCTAATTTATAAAATGATCCTAGCATTTTTAAATCTCTGTACTTAAATGACTGTGGATTCTGCAAATCCCTGCGTTCCCATTTGCTTACACCCATGCTCTCAATCAATATGCTTGCAAGGTAATTGCTTGAAGTCCTTTCAAAACTGTCCCGCCCTCGAAAGGACGATCATTACAGATTTCATTTGGCAAACTGCTTCACGAACCTGTTGCACTAAATATCTCAGTGACAACATTCAGCTGTAAACAGTGACTATCAACAAATGAGGAAGAGATGGTATGTATTCATTTCCAAGCTGCACATTCTGAGAACATTAATGCTATTTTTACAGTGACCAAAAAAAAAAGCGGAACTGCCTCTCCCAGTTATCCTTTCCACTGATAACAGCACTTCAGTCTCCTGGAACTGGTTCCTAAGACTTCTCCTCAACCTAACACATGAAGAACCCAGCTTTTTCCTGGAATATGGTTCACTGTCCCAACCAGCCTCAAGTCATGTTAGATCATTCTTGGATCAATGCCAGACATTTTAGGTCATTCTTAGCCCCAATCTCATCCCTGAATACTCCAGGAACCCAAGCATTCCTAACAGCATTTAACATTACAGCTTACTACACACAAGCATTAGTCATGTTAAGACACACAACCTGGAGTCCAGTTCTGAACTCATCCTTAAGGAGTGACACACACCAACCTAACACAGCATAAAAAAGCATTAGCAGAATTATGAAAGCATTCCTGTAAACAGCATTGCCACTTGAGATGCGAGCTTTAAAAGCAGCCACAAACCCCATGAAAAAGATACCTTTGGCCTTGTGTCTACAACATACATGAAGGGACTCCCCGGGTTGGCCTCGCGGATGGCTTGCAGCATCTGCTCGTCCTCCAGGCAGCGCGCGCTGAAGCCGGAGAGGGGCTGGCTACAGCGGCACACGGCAGCCTGCAACACACAACCACCCAGGTCTGCTCTCACACCGTCTGACCGCTGCAATGTGACATTTTCCAGCGTCCTATCCTCTGTTTCACTTAAAAGCTGCCACCTAGATGGGCAGAAATATCGCTGGAGTATTTCTCAAAGCTAAAATTTGGGATTTTTTAAGAAATTTGTGAGGCTACGGAACCCTGTTCCCAAATTTCTTCCTAAGTTCCCCAACCCACTACACTCTGCTGGATGATCGCTAACTCAAATATTAGCGGCTCTTCCTTTGCCTGCCTTGTTTCTTTTGCTCTGACCATCCCTCCGTGTGACTTTATCATTCGTTACTGTCCCATACTCAGAACAGCACTGAGCATGTTTTTAGAGAGATTCTGATAGTTTCCAGCACAACTCCTTACAGTTGCCCAGGTCAAGGCCCACTTCCTGTGGTAATAACAGTTTGTCTGTGACAGCATTTTGCTAACATCTGCATCTAAAACACTGCTGAGACAGCAAAGTTAAAAATCTGTGCCCTGGTCTGCAATGGAAAAAAGAAACAAAACCAAAACCTTTACTTATTTTGAGTTCGTGGGGATTTGTTTCATGGTCATTCCTCCTCCTCTTCAAAAATGTCTAGCCAAGTTAATATGCATCTTGTTAAAAATTCAGTGCCGCTAATCAGTAAATAACAAAAAGGCAACATCAAGACACTTCTGAAAGTTGATTAAAAAAACTTTAGCAGGAAGTTTAGAAAGCTTGTGCTTTTCTACACAGCTTTAAAAGACTATTTTGAGAGAGGGTGGGAAAGCACAGCAAGAGACGTGTCTGATAACTAAAACTGCCTCTGCTCAAACATCTTTCAACATACAATCTGTTCACATAAGGACTTAGAAAAAAAGTAAATCCAATTCCCCATCAACTGACTTAGTACTACTTAAATCTTAGAAAAGAAACTGTGCAGCAGGCCAGCCCTGGCTGTTGCAGTATTTAGCTCTAACAAGCTTATTCAGCCACTTGGAACAACCCAGTAAAAACAAGCCAGCTTTTACTGGGTTAAATTAATTAAAAACTAATTTAAAAAAATGTAGCCCTCAAACTGAAGTCAACATGCTCCTAACTTTATCACATTCTTTCCCTTCACTTAAATGGGACTGGACAAGAAGGGGAACCCTTACCCCCCACAAAGACAGCAGACTATGAACAACTAACATTGTTTTCTTTATATAAGTAGGAAAGGACTGGAATCCGCCCTCTGCTTCTGAATCTTGAGCTTCCGATCACTGTTGCTTTATTAGCAGCTTTAGGCACCACTATTTCTGGAGGGTAAGTGTTGCAAACCTAAGTGGGCAGAAAGAAGAAAGCCAAGTATGACAACTTAGCAATTTCATACTAATGTAAAATTCATTTTTTGTTATCTAGTATTTTAGCAATAAATTATTTGTTATGGCATGTCAAAAATAGTCTGTAATTTTTAAAGATTTTGAGCAATTAATAAGTACTTAGAAAAAAGCACAGGAATGGGGATTTGATTTTGCCATTGTACCTGAAAACCTGGACAGCATAGAACACAATACATTTTAAAAGGAAGTTATTGAAATCTAATAATTTGTATGAATTTCTGGTTTGTCACAAAAAGAGAAATTAAGAACAAGTATATTAAAAAGGGTTCCAACTAAATCTTATTGAATTTGAAAGAAGCTTCCAGCAATCAGGCAGCATCCTCAGAATTATCCTTGTTTCTCACACAAGTATGGTCTTTTCAGCACATATTTCACAGAAAAAGCTATTTTCGAGTCTGGCTTTACTTCAGGCTTAACAATTTTAAAAGCAAGCTAGAAGCCCCAAAGAAATTACAAAGCAATTGAGAGTTACATACTGTACTAGCAAGTAAAGCTTCAAAGTGATTAATGATTTTAGATGCTCACATTCAGATGCCCAGATCAGCTAACAGGGGGAAAAAAAGCACCTCTCGTTATCTCAGTTCAGGCATCCAAAGATGCAGTCACTTAAAATTACCAGCGCGTTCTCATAGCACATGTTTCTTCAACTTAAAACATAAATAGAGAATACTGGGGGAAGGGGGCAGTCGAGTCTTAATGTGTTGACACTCTTCAGAGTTGTCAGCTTTGTCTTTTATACAAAAAAACCTGTTTGTACACAGAAGGGGAAATAACATGAAGAGGAGCCTGAACAAACTTGCTGAAAAGTGTTCTCATTTTAACATACAAATATGGCCTGTCTTAAAAGCGGGAGAAAAGGAAATAACAGCAAAAGGTACCTAGGACTGAAATGTCTGGGAACCCTTATTTAGCATAAGATCTATCAAAGCCAAAAAAAAAGGTAGGCCATATCTGGTGGTTGGGCTTCTCCCCCATCTTGATCTGTCCCTAATCACCTGCCTTTGCTCCCCAAGCAAAACTGCTGTCATTTATTTCTGTTCTACACACGTGTCACCATGTGGAAATACCTGAAGAAGCTAAAGGTATTTCAGTTTCTTGTAAATGATGGTTTGATGTTTCTCTAGAAAAATTAAGTATCTGGTTCTTTGCCAGAGGGATCAAGCAAATCAAGGTGACTCTGCAGCTCCGTTCTTTCATAGCATCATTATCTGCAACTTCACATCAGGACGATGCTGCTTCGATTAAAACCAGCTGAGCTCATTCCTCCCTGGAGGCATCACTTATGCAGCAGGAGGATTTCTGTATGTCATCAATATTGAACAAGAGATACTGCACCAAATGGCTACTCTGGGCAGGAATTACCTCATAGTCTTTATTCGCATCCGTTATTTCCCAGTAGTCATTTGGAATTCCCATACGCTGGTAATCTACTTTTAAATCAATCAGTTTCCATCCAATCTCCCGGTTATCTTTAGACATTTTAGGATTATACGAGAAAGCATAAAGATCTTCAGGTTTCACTGGAAAAAAAAAAAAAGAGGGAAAAAAAAAAAGAGTTAGAGATAAATACAATAAAATATGAATCCCAAAAGGCTGTTTCTTTGGATACACACCCTGTGCAAGCCAGTATACTACAGGTATATCACAACTGATACAAGCAGTGGAAAGAAAAACAAAAATAAACAGGAGAATTGATTTTTTTTTTTTTAACTATAAAAGCTAAGTACTATGCCACCTTAGTGCATATTTGGCTGTATTTTAACGGTAGCTATTTTACTTAGGCTCTAGATGCCTGAAGTTTAAGTTTTCTATTACTGCCTTTTGCATTTTACTAACCTCTGCAAACCATGGAGACTGAGTCCTTGAATAACATAGGGAAGAGCATGAATATTTAGGGTTGTTTTTCTGAGGGATTACTAAAAAACATTCCTATTCATCTTTAGCTTAGTAAGTAATGAATTTACACAAAGCTTCTAAATTTGGGTCGTAATTCAGTGTTCCTCCTATTCACAGGCTTTTGTCCTGGGTCATACCAAATGCCCACAACTCATTAACGTTCTCAAGAATTTCCAGTGCTCAGCTCACACGGATGAGAAGGGACGCTAAAGCATTTCAGAGAATTAAAACTTTAA